AAAAATCTAAGTCTATCAACTTAATTATTTGTCTCTCCCCTAAACAAAATAAAATATACAAGAAAAATACAAAAGTTTTCCAGAACAACTGGAAAGAAGCTGACTTGAAAGGAAAATGACAGCAAAGGTTCTGTGAAGAGCAGCAGAGCTTTTATGAATCTCAAGTTCAAATGTAAATAGTGGCAATTCAATCCTTTCCAAAGATGGAAGATGGAAAGGAGAATGCACTGATCAAAAGTCATCCTGTAACTTAAGGGAAAAGAGGAAGACAATGACTCCCATAGTCATAAACAAGGAATAGTGAAACGGCAGGAAATGACAACTGAGTTTGGCAAATGGTCTACACAAGGATGATTTCATCCCATGGGGAGAAGCCAGACAGACTTACAGGACAGTTTCAGAAAACTGCTGCATTTTAATAATTTAAAATTATTACTGAAACACCCACTGTCACCACCTGGCATCAGGGCTCAAATTTAAGCACCACATAAAACACATTTTCCTATTACTACCATCACTAAAAGCAGGTGTGAGAAACCCAAGGTGACACCACACAAACTACAGCAGTGTGTGGCACACCAGGAGTACCTGAAAGCTCTGCTACCAGAAAGGACAACATTCCCAAATAAAACAAAGCAGTGATGAAAATATGAGACAACTGTCTAGATATTCAGAGATACCAGCTTCAAATACCACATCATTTGAGTTGCAAATACTTTACATCTGACAGGCCTACTGCTCCCCACCAGCAGAGAGCACAAGTCTGCCTAAGAAAGCCCAGCAGCCTTTCTCCAAATTACTTGCAACAAGCAATTTGTCCAGCCAGAATAATCTCAAAATAAAGCAATTATTTTGAGGGGGGAAAAAAGGAAAGAAAGACACAAACAAACAAATCCCTTCCCCCAGTAATCCCAATTTTGCTGAATTTATTATGTGGCTGCAAATTAATATGTCACCTGCACCAGCTATCACAAGGTTGTCTCAGAAGTTGCTTTATTAAACAGCTGCAAGTAGTGGAGTAAATGTGTAAACATCTCACTTGCCTCTCCGTGCCATTGTGTCAGCTATTCTACATGCCTTTGAAGGTGCTCCAAAATCAGCATGGCTCTGCTTTTCCCTTTTTCTCCTTTTGGGAGGAGGAAAAAGCAGAGCAGGAAGGACAGGCTGGCAACAGGGGGATAACTCTGTGCTCGCTGTGCTCTTGACAGCGAGGCTGCGAGTGTTCAAATTCAGTTTACACGGGCTCTTCTGTAAGGACAAAAGAAACCACTGCTGGTGGTTAAAAATGCAAAAGGTTTTGATTGCAATGGCTTGAAAATAAGCCAAAGATATGACTAGGGGGAAAAACACAGCAAGGCAGCTATGACCAGAATGGAAGAAACAAGGAAAAACACATGGCTCGACTTCAGAGCAGAAAATTGACTTAGGCTTTGCATAAACGACAGCATACCTCCAAGCCTGCCTGATCCACAGACTGCCTGGAATGGGAACATGTAGGCTAAAAGCAGAGCCTATTAAAAGGCATAATGTTTCTAAACGGCATCTGTTACATACTAATAAGCATTACTTAAAGGACACAGGCCTTAAATTGCTACCATGCACTTATCTGAAACTGCTGCAAGGCAATCGTTACCCAAATGTCACATGACACCATGGGAATCTGAATAATAGAAAATGTTTTTATTTCCTTTGGCTCGGAATCATTACGCAAGAAAAAAAAACCATGGAGGCCCTTTCTGAGATTCTGAAACTGTGCAACTTCACAGGAACGAAGCAGCAGCGAGAATTACACCAGCAGAGCCATTTGCCATCTGTTGTCAGCAGTGCCAGAAAGACCAGCCACCAGGCAGAGGTTTCAAAGGTTACAAACACAACATTTTTAAGCACCCACAGACCTCTCTGTAAGCAAGCAGGACCCACTTTAACTACAGATATGTGGGACCTGAGGGTCTGCCAATCGTTTTGCAAAGACAACATTCCAGAGCAGCGAACTGCAAAGGGTTTGGAAGTCTCTCAGTATGCAACCTTTCCACCATGTGGAAAATACATGCCAGCCTGTTCACGTAGGTTCTTATAACATGCTCACAACCAGGATGCCTGCACACCTCCCACTTGCAAATTGAAACCAGTCAGACTTTCTCTTGTGCTGTTTGTTTTCCCAAACTTTCCCCTCAAGGGAAGGAGTGTATTCACTGAAGCGCTGTTATGGAAAAGGGCTCTGGTTTGTTTGCTGGGTTCTGGACTGTATTTTTTTCTTTGGGGGAAGTATTTAGGATTTTGTTTCCTGATTTCTTTTCTTTCCAGACCATAACTATATATTTGTGCTAAAGAAAGCAAGGTTTTGGTAACTTGCATTACCTGTGGCAATGGCAGCCCTTACCTCTTACAGACACGCACACCTCAGTCTGAATAAAATTCTGCCTGTTCCATCCATGAGATCTAAGTTCCACTATGGTTGTTCATCAGTCTCATCTTAGAGCTTTGAGTAGCTTTTCTAGATGCAGAGACCACATTTACTATGGTAGTGCCTATACAATACCTGAATTTTGTGGTTCCATCTTTCAAGCTGTTGACCTCCTGCCTATAAACTGATTAACATGGATTTCATGGAGGGCAGGGAGATTTCCATCTTCCTCGAGAGACAGATGGAAATTTAAGACTTCATTAATGCAATTGCTAAACTAGATGTACAGGTTTCTCATTCTGTAACTATTTCTCAGGCTCCAGAGGTGTATACACGTGATTACTCACTGAATGTCCTTCCTGGCCTTTCTGTTGGATAGTTAAACACATAAAAATCTGACTTCTGAAACATTCTGAATCAAAAAGAATTTCTGAGGAGGCTCAATCTAAAACAAGAACTTCAAGTTCTAGGTCAACAGCTGCCCTGCTTCTCAACAGCAAGGTCTGCCTAGGACTTATAAGGGAGCTTAGAAACCTGGAAGTGTAAACAACCTTTCCCTGTGAAAACAGTTACAGACACAGCCCTCAAGACTGAGCTGTAGCATCTCAATTATAGCATAACTGAAAAGCATCATTTGTACAAGACCTAATGGTTGATTTCAACATGCTCTTAAAGCCTGCTGTACACTCAAACTGCTTATTATTATTTTAAAGATAGGTATATCCAACTAAATAACTATGCCAAAACTCAGACAATACCTAGAAACAACATCAGCTGTCCCAAAAGAGGAAGGGGATGGAAGAACAACTATTCTAAGCATTAAATTTGAGAGTAATGAAAAAGTAAGGGAAAAACACAGGCTGAAGTGCCCAACAATACAATGTTTGTTTGGACATGAAAAACCAAATCCCATTCATCTATTTTATTTAAAAACATCAGTAGAATAGAAAGCCTTCCAAAGAAAAAAAAATAGCATTATTACAAATGTTTGACTTCCATAAGTGGTTGATAGCAGGGAAAAAATAGAGCAATCTGACAGAGGCACATTTAGCCATGAGCAGCAAGAGGAACTAATGAACAACATCATTATTTTACTGAAGGGGATGAAGTAGGTGCTTTAGACAAATGGCAGCAACTTAAAATGTGTTTCAGAAGATAAATTCACTTTCTCTCCATTTACCTGCTAGCGTGACAAATTAAGAAAGAGGAGTATAAAAACAGAGCAGGAGGGAAAGCAGTGCGAAAGCTAACTGAGGTGATGCAATGGGCCCTTATCCAAACAAGTGCGTGAGCAGAGATTCTTGGAAGTCTTCCTAGTCAAATATAAACCCAGAACACTGCACACGCCAGACTCCTTTGGAAATCCACGGCGGAGCACATGCAGAAGATCCACCTGTGCTTAAATCAGGTCCCTCACGAGGTACTGGGAGCAGGGCCCTTCGGGAACTGATGTGACATCTGTTCATCCCAAAGCAGTGCAAGCCCAGCGGGTACTGAGGGGCTGAGCAGCGCTTTGCCCACTGCTGGAAACACCAGCGAATTAACTTCTCCTGGTTATGAGGAGATAAGCAGAGAGTGGCTTTTTTCAAAAAATATATCGGTTTCCATGTACTTCTTGTTCTGCTGTCACCTCACCAACAGCAAAAAAAAGGTTTTACTGAATACTTTTTAAGGAAAGCGTATTATATACTTTGTATACATTATATACACATATAATAATATATTTTATAGTGTAGCATGCATACTGCTCTGTAGTATACAATGCCTTTTATATCTCATCTCTACACCAAAACAGTTCTCCTAATTACGTTCGCATGGTCAAGAACTAACGTGTTTACTGCTGCTTTTGTCCCTGTCAAACCATGCTCCTTTTGTTGAACTGTGGGTTTGCTCAGTTTGAGTAAACAACTGCCGGAGGTGCCTGAGATTTGCCTTTAAAAAACTGCTATTTTTACGCCGTATTCCCACTGCTTTTTAGCAGCTCTCAAGCAGTGAGTTATTAAAGCCTTAAACTCATCCACCTGCGCTGAGACCCTCGAACACGCTCTGCACACAGGAGTCCGGGGATGAGGCTCTCCCAGCATCACCCTCCGAACCACAGCGGACAGGAATCATCGGGCCACTCCTCTCTGCTTCAGGACTAGCCGAAAACCTGGCAAAGTTACCTGTACGCTTGGGATAAGGGGGGAAAAAAAAACCCTGTAGCGCCTGCCCCTGCGCGCAGGGG